AGAAAATAAGGAAATATATAAGTAAATAAGGAAATAAAAAAGGAAAAAATGAAATAAGAAAAAAATAAGTAAATAAGCAAGTAAATAATTAAATAAGTAAGCAAGTAAATTACTAAATAAGTAAGCAAGTAAATAAATAAATAAATAAATAAATAAATAAGGGGAAAAGGAAATAAGTAAGGAAATAAGTAAAGAAATAAGTAAATAAGTAAGGAAATAAGTAAATATATAAGAAAATAAGTAAATAAATAAGCAAGGAAAAAAAGAAATAAATAAGGAAATAAATAAAGAAATAAGCAAATAAGTTAGGAAATAAGAAAAGAAATAAGGAAATAAGTTAGGAAAAAAGTAAATAAGGAAAAGAGAAAGGAAATAAATAAGGAAATAAGAAAAAAGTAAGTAAATAAGCAAGAAAATAAGGAAATATATAAGTAAATAAGGAAATAAAAAAGGAAAAAATGAAATAAGAAAAAAATAAGTAAATAAGCAAGTAAATAAGTAAATAATTAAATAAGTAAGCAAGTAAATTACTAAATAAGTAAGCAAGTAAATAAATAAATAAGGGAAAAGGAAATAAGTAAGGAAATAAGTAAAGAAATGAGGAAATAAGTAAGGAAATAAGTAAATAAGTAAGGAAATAAGTAAATATATAAGAAAATAAGTAAATAAATAAGCAAGGAAAAAAATAAGGAAATAAATAAAGAAATAAGCAAATAAGTTAGGAAATAAGTAAAGAAATAAGGAAATAAGTTAGGAAATAAGTAAAGAAATAAGGAAATAAGTTAGGAAAAAAGTAAATAAGGAAAAGAGAAAGGAAATAAATAAGGAAATAAGAAAAAAGTAAGTAAATAAGCAAGGAAATAAGGAAATAACTAAATAAGTAAGCAAGTAAATTACTAAATAAGGAAAAAAGTAAATTAGTAAATAAGTAAATAATAGTAAATAAGTAAGGAAATAATAATTAAGTAAATAATAGAAAGGAAATAAGTAAATAAATAAGAAAGGAGATAAGTAAGGAAATAAGTAAATAAATAAGGAAATAAGCAAATAAGTTAGGAAATAAGGAAATAAATAAGGAAATAAGCAAATAAGTTAGGAAATAAATAAGGAAATAAGCAAATAAGTTAGGAAATAAATAAGGAAATAAGCAAATAAGTTAGGAAATAAGGAAATAAATATGCAAGGAAATAAGCAAGTAAATAGGTAAGTGAATAAGTAAGCAAGCAAGTAAGTAAGCATATAAATGTAATAATGAAAAAGTCAAGCAGGTGTGAAGGACAGTGACAGGAGGGAAATTAAAGCTATGTTGTCAGTGTTGAAGCTACCAGTTTTACTTAAATAGTAAGCATATTATTTCAATATCAATTTACTGTCCTCACATCTCTGATAAATATATTAATTTTATAGAAGCATAAATGTGTTTATTATGCACTATGTAAGCTCACTGCATATTACAGCTGGGAATAAAACCAAACTATACATCTCCAAGCCAGGAGCAGGAACTCTGGCATCAGTTACACTGAAATATTCAAGCACACACATAAATCACAGAAGAATGAAACACTGAACATATAGGCTCCAGACTATACACTCAAAAATGTTAAAGACAACCGCACATTCAAACTTTAGATGTCCTCGTCCTTTGCTTTATATAAACTGTAATTCATAGAAGCCACATATGCTGAAGCATGTGGAATTGAATCCTATAGTAATGTATGGTCGCAGTGGGATCTGGGGAGTGACAAAGTCAATTAGTGGTTAACCACATTAAACTCTGCTTGAAATCCTTTGTTAGGGTTTTAAACTGACTTTTAAAAAGACCAGAGAGATTTACTTATTTTGATTTGTGTGATTAAAAGGAAATCTGATCAACTGTTTAAAACTAAATAGTGAATGGAGACATTAACTGACAGGCAGCATCACTTTAGCATTGAGATACGTGCATTTTCCTTGTTCTTTTTGGCTTAGTCCCTTTATTAATCCGGGGTCGCCACAGTGGAATGACCCGCCAACTTGTCCAGCATATGCTTTATGCAGAAGATGCCCTTCCAGCTGCAACTCATCACTGGGAAATATCCAAACACATTCATTCACACACACACACACTTCAGACAATTTAGTCAACCCAATTTCCCTGTACCACAAGTTTTTGGACGGTGGGGGAAACCCGTTGGGAAACCTACGCCAACACAGGGAGAACATGCAAACTCCACACAGAAATGCCAACTAACCCAGCTGAGGCTCGAACCAGAAATCTTCTTGCTGTGAGGCGATCGTGCTACCCACTGAACCCCACTGATGCCCTTACTTGCATTTTATTTTTTATTACTGTATCTAGAGTGAATGAGCTGAGATATAAGCTTAATAATTTATTTTATATTAGAAGTTTTGGTAATTTTGTTGTGCTTTCATAATTTAAGTGCACGTGTGTTTATGTATTTGTATGTGAAAGTATTTAATTTAATAACAGTTAGCTGAAACAAAACATTTTTACTGAAATTATATATTCACTCACCGGCCACTTTATTAGGTACACCTGTACAACTGCTCATAAATGCAAATTTATAATCAGCCAACCACATGGCAGCAGCTCAATGCATGTAGACATGGTCAAGAAACGTTGCCTGGTCTGATGAGTCTCCATATCTGCGGCAACATTCGGATGGTCGGGTCAGAATTTGGCATCAACAACATGAAAGCATGGATCCATCCTGCCTTGTATCAACGGTTCAGGCTGCTGGTGGTGGTGTAATGATGTGGGGGATCTTTTCTTGGGACACTTTGGGTCCATTAGTACCAACCAAGTATAGTGTCAAAGCCACAACCTACCTGAGTATTGTTGCTGACCATGTCCATCCCTTTATGACCAAAGTATCCCCATAATCTGATGGCTACTTCCAGCAGGATAACACGCCATGTCATAAAGTGTGAATCATCTCAGACTGGTTTCTTGAACATGACAATGAGTTCACTGTACTCAAATGGCCTCTACAGTCTCCAGAGCTCAATCCAATAGAGCACCTTTGGGATGTGGTGGAACGGGAGATTCACATCATGAATGTGCAGCCGACAAATCTGCAGCAACTGCGTGATGCTGTCATGTCAATATGGAGCAAAATCCCTGAGGAATATTTCCAGTAGCTTGTTAAATCTATGCCACGCAGGATTAAAGCAGTTAGGGGGTCCAACCCAGAACTAGTAAGGTGTACCTAATAAAGTGGCCCGTGAGAATATTCTTCAGTAAAACCATGTTTTTAGTTTCAGTTTAACTTTACTAATCATTCAGACTTCAGTGCCTCATCAACTGTATAGTAACCACTCAGAAAACCCTCGCAAGCAACTAACAATAGCTTAGCATCTGCCTAGTGACCACTCCGAAAATGTTAGATTTTTTTTACATCATGTAAAACTGACAAATTTATAAATCTATTTAAAACTTAAAACGATTTTAATATGTTCACTACCCCTATTGACTCTTTTTGTATTTTAATTGAAACCGTTTAAATGCCCTAATTGTTTTTTAATAAGAACTTAATTTTCTTATTTTATTTTAATCTATTTTTCTTTATTTTAATTATTATTACCATTATTTTCTTTGTATTATCATGCTTATTCCTTGTATTTTTTATTATTTTTGTGTTGTTTGGTAATTATTGAAAACTGTAAAACTAATAATAAAAACACTTGTTAAAAAAAAACTTGAAACGATTTTAATCTTAAAACTTTCGAACTTTAAGCTACATAAAACTTAAATCAACCTTTTAAACTTTAATCTACTTGAAACTTAGAACTATTTAAAACTAATATTTTCAGGCTACTGTGAGCTTTCTCAAGCCAAAGTTAGAGTTAAAACACATCTGAATAATTTAATAATATTAATTTCTCAGTTCTAAAGTCTCATGTGATTTATGAAGGATTTGGAAAACCTGTGATTGTACTATGTGATTGGTGAGGAATATTTTAAGTTCAACATGTTATTTTATATCTACATAGTCGATTTTATTTGAATAATTATTAAATAATTGAGGATATATAGACTTATGTATCAAACGTTTACCTGTGTAAAAAACTGTAATGAAATAAAGAGTGTGGCTGAGTAAATGTACTAAAATAACTATTAAAATAAACAAAGTAAAAACAACCCTGCTGAAAAATCCAGCTTAAACTAGCCTAAGCTGGTTGGCTGGTTTTAGCTGGTCGACCAACCTGGCTTTAGAGGGGTTTTGGCCATTTCCAGGCTGGTTTTCAGCCATTTCCAGCCTGGTTTAAGCTGGACATAGCTGGTTTTGGCTGGGCTTCCTAGGCTGGTCAAGCTGGTTTTACCTGGTCATCTCCCAGCCTGACCAGCTAAGACCAGGCTGGAAATGGCTGGAAACCAGCCTGAAAATGGCCAAAACCCCTCTAAAACCAGCCTGGCCGACCAGCTAAAACCAGCCAGCCTGGCCGACCAGCTAAAACCAGCCAGCCTAGGCTGGTTTAAGCAGTTATTATTTTTATTTTTTTTCAGTAGGGAAAGTAAAGTTTCCCTACAATAACATTTATGCATAGACTACTACTCAAATACTTTACATATGTAGTGTATTATAGTGAATAAGTAACAGTAAAGCAATGAGGCAGAAGAAAATTGCGATACAGCAGCAAAATCTACCATAAATAATAAATGCCGTCGAGTCAAAGTGAACATTGATCCATATTTGAGCAATAGCTGTTGTGCAATAATCAACCTACTTTCTTATTTACCTTCAAAGCAAACAAAAACACACATGCTAACTGTTCGACCTCCAAATTTATGGAAACAAAAAATGTACAGAGTAGAAAATCTGTAAAAAGAAAATAGGCTACATTTTACTTTAATAACATACTAGCAAAGTGGATGATGATACTGAGTCCATGCTATGACCTTGATGTGTGCTCGTGTAATAAATCTACATGCAGTCTGAGACCTTCAGTCAAGGTTGAACTGATAAAAACTCTCAAATAAGCACTGCACCCTCAAACTACGAGAAAAGCAGCGCAGTTGTACGTGATTTAAACAACAAAACACTGAGGAAAGCGGCACGTTTATGCTGGAGGAACGTTTAATCGGAGCATTTGTTCATCACGGAAAACTTAAAGTGGTGCACACTAACAGAAGTAAGAGCAGTTCATTTTTAGCTTAAATTTGACTTTTTACTAAGGTCATATTATGTTTGTTTAATGCCTCGCTTGTTTTAAAATCCAGTATTATTTAGTACACGCGACGTTTGATTGAAATGCCTCATTTAAAGCGGTTTAATTTGCGATGTGCACATAGCTGTCACACCACTTAAAGATAACAGTTTCTTAAGTCTCATATATGTTTGCACTTAACAACTTTAAACTGGAGCTGTTTGTGGTCTAAATGAACACAATGCTGTGGAAATTCGTGCGTTCTGAAGCAGGCGGAGGAAAATAAAATGCGCACACACTTAATACAGAGGTGTTATTGTTATTTTTTTTTAATCATGAAGTTTCAGAAATGAACAAATGAATTCAGCCCCACGGGTGTGACCCAAGAGCACGCGCCGAGGGATCAGAGTTGCTTCATAAGCTGCTTTTGGGTTCATAACGAGGCATTGTTGGAATTGGGACTATATTTACTTCATTTCATCGGATGAAGATGATGATGAACATTATGAAAGGGTCTCTGATGAAGATCCACACGCTGTCGCGCGCATCCCGGTGTCTGCTTGCTGATGGCGGTGAGTTTGTGACGCTTTTTTGTTTGTTTGTTGTATTTTTATGACGTCATGAGGGAATGGACTTTTACATGTGTCCACAACATAGGCTGTATTACAAGCTCCACACTTCATCCAGCAAGTGCATCTGTCACATATACTTTGCTGTAATGCACATCAAAGCTTTAAGCTTGATAATGTTTGTCAAAATAAACTATGTGTGAAAGTCAGAAAAGGTAATGCTGTTATGTGTTACAGGCTTCTAATCTTACAGTTGATGGGGCTTTTATGTAGTTCTGTGAGTTTTCATAGCTGATTTTTTATGGTGCTAAATACTTGATTGGTCATATCTATCTATCCATCCATCCATCCATCCATCCATCAATCCATCACACAAACACAATTCAGTTCACAACAACTGACAAGATCAAATATGATGATTGAAAAATCAGTTTATAACCATAAAGCTTTTTATCCAACTATAGTCAGTGTACACATTGATCTGTCTGACAAACTGACTGTCTATTTTATGAGAAAGTTGATCATTAGCAGATAGATAGATCATTGATTGACTGATTGATAGATAGATAGATAGATAGATAGATAGATAGATAGATAGATAGATAGATAGATAGATAGATAGATAGATAAACAAATAGATGGATTAATGGGTGAATGCATAGATAAATGTATCTGTCTGTTTATCTGTCTGTCTGTGTGTCCATCTGTCTATATGGATCGCTACGTCCATTCATCTACCTTTAATCAATCAATTAATCAATCAGTGTGTCTATTTGTCTGCTAATAATAAATGTTTCAAAAGATAGATAGATAGACAGACAGACAGATAGATCAGTGGGTATGTGGATAAAGCTTTATTGTTATGAACTGATTTCTCAATCATCAGGTTTGATCTTGTCAGTTGTTGCGAGTTTAAGTGTATTTTTGTGATGGATGGATGGATGGATGGATGGATGGATGGATGGATGGATGGATGGATGGATGGATGGATGGATGGATAGATAGATAGATAGATTATTTAATGGGTGGATTGATAGATCTATCTATCTATCCATCTATTATCTATCTATCTGTCTGTCTGCTATTGATATCAACTATCTAAAGAAACAGACGGACAGACAGACAGATCAAAATGTGTGGGTGGATAAAAAGCTTTAGTGTTATAAACTGATTTCTCAACCATCATCATGCTTGATATTTGATGAGATAGATAGATAGACAGACAGATAGACAGATAGATAGATAGATAGATAGATAGACAGACAGACAGACAGACAGACAGACAGACAGACAGACAGATAGACAGATAGATAGATAGACAGACAGACAGACAGACAGACAGATAGATAGACAGACAGACAGACAGATAGACAGAAAGAAATGGACAGAAAGATGGATGTATAGATAGACAGAAAAATAGATAGACAGACAGACAGACAGGGAGAGAGAAAGATAGACAGAAAGAAATGGACAGGCAGAAAGATGGATGGATAGAAAGATAGACAGAAAATAGATAGATAGACAGACGGACAGACAAATAGACAGACAGACAGACTGATAGATAGACAGACAGACAGACAGACAGACAGACTGATAGACAGACAGACAGACAGACAGACAGACAGACAGATAGATAGATAGATAGATAGATAGATAGATAGATCGATCTGTCCGTTTGTTTATTTATCTATCTGTCTGTCCGTCTGTCAGTCCGTCTGTTTGTCCATCGATCCATATTTCTATCTATTTGTCTGTCTATCTATCTATGGGTCAGTCTATCTACCCATTGATAATTAGACAATCAATCAAAAAAAAAAAGACAGACAGATTGTTGTTTAGGTAGATCAAGAGCTTTATTGTTATAAAGTTGAGAAATCAGTTTATAATATAAACTGATTTCTCAATCATCATCATCATCATCATCGTCATGTTTGAACTTGCCAGTTGTTGTGAGCTGAAGTTTGTGTGTGTGTTGCTGCTGCAGGTGTGCGTGGGCTGTCTTCAGTGTCTGCGAGAGTGTGTGTGGTGGGTGGAGGACCTGCAGGTTTTTACACGGCACAGCAGCTACTGAAGGTTGGTTATCAGTTCTGTCATAAAAAAACACTGGCACAGGAAAACAGAGAGATCCCGCAGAATCTCTTTTGTTTGAGTTTTCTGGCTGACTTCATATTATAACCAGGGCCCGGTTTTTCAAAAGTAATCCACTAGGATTTTGGATAAGGGATTGGATCAAATCTTGAAAATGGGTTTTTCAAAAGAAAAAACGGATTACCTAATCGGATTAGATCACGTAATCTAATCTTGGTTTTGATCCGGATCAAACCTTTACTTTGGGTTTTTCAGACCTTCTTTGTAGGATTTGGATCACTTTGATCAAATCTTTAGGGCCCTATCATACACCCGGCGCAGTGTGGCGCTAGGCGCGGCGCAGTAGTCGCAAGAGTTGTTTTGAGGCGTTGCGCTACGCTGTTTAAATAGCAAATGCATTAGTGCTCATATGTGCGCCCATAGGCGTTCTGGTCTAAAAAGGAAGTCGTTCTGAGGCGGACCGCTGGCGTGCCGCTATTTTGAGAAACTATAATAGATTTTTCATTAGACCAAAACTAACCCGGTCTAAAGTCGAGCGCAGAGTTGCGCCTCGCTTACACACTGCTTAATACACACAAGAGAGAAATAGGCAAAAATCTTTACATATGAAAAAATGTAAATATTAAGGATATATATAGGATATAATAAGAATAGATATAGGATATAAATATGAAGGATTAAAATATTACAAAACATATTATTTTCTAGCCTACATAAATATGAAAAATCACTGCTTTTATGTCTTCTTCATCACGGGAAGCTTTTTCAGTTCATTCATAACAATTTGCCTTTGTATAATGTTATTATTATTAGCAGTATTATTTATTATATCCATATTTATATTTGTTTTATTAAAAACAAGCTTAGATTTGCCCACCTGTCAGGTTTTAGACCATATGGGGCACAGCATGTGTTTTAGGATATAACTCAGGTTTTTGAGCACATTTAGTTATTATTGTTCATTTATTCGTTTGCTGGAAATAAGAACTGAATTTAGAAATAGTTTTGAAACGAATATTTGCGCTTAACAAACAAAAATTAATTTTTTATAGGCTAATTGATGTCTGTGCGTAAAGGTTTCCCTATCCAGGAGCGAATGTGAAAGTAGATCCATTATCTCTCATTCTCATGCAGTAGATGCTCTGTTTAACAGTTTTCTGTTAAAAAAAACTGTTAACTGTTTGCTTGTGAAATGTTCAGTTTTTCCACTTAGACTCACTTTACGTCCTGTAAATAGTGAATGCGCTCTTGGCGCGACGCAGCTGGCTCTTAAAGGTAATGGGAGATGAGACTCTAATTGGTTTATTCTTAAAACACACCTATAACTCATTAAGAAAATAAACTCAACCCTTTTAGACCATGCGCCTTGGCGCAAAGCAGATTTCCCGTCCTCAAATTAGCAAAAACGCGTCCTGACACTCCCTGAAAGCGTTTGCGCCCTGCGTTTTGCGCTCTGCGCATGGACCGTCAAAATAGAGCCCTTAGTGTTTGTGAGTCTTGTCTATAAACTATGATCTTTAGTTCTTAATTTCTGATGGATTCAGCTCAGGTGATTGGCTGGGCCATTCTACAGCTTGATTTTCTTTCTCTGAAAGCATTTGGGAGTTCCCTTGGCTTTGTTTTGGATCATTGTCTTACTAAAAATGTCCACCCTGGCTTCCTCTTCATCCTCCTGCTTATGTAGATGTTAGACTGAAGCAGCTGATATTCATTTACACTGAGGTAGGGCAGAGAGTTGCTGAAGAACTACTGACAGATTTCAGCTGCTGTCTGGGCTTTTCTTGCCTTTTTAAACCTTCCTTTTTTCATGTGTTCAATACTTTTTCCCATTTCATCTCTATCACACATAGCTCAATATCTGAACTAATTAGTTTTGTTTTCTTTGTATGGATTACTAAAGTCGTTACCAACATCCAGTGAGCATTTCAAGTAAACAGCACCTTTTAGAAGCATGATTTCTGAGAAAAAAACTTGTTCAAAACTTAGTTTACCTGCTGTACTTGATTCCCATGGTTCATGCAATGACAATATTGCAACATCACAAGTTTTGAAAAGAAGAGAGCACATTTCTAAGAATCACACAGTGTTCTGGCTCCAGCAATCAGACCGCAGAGGAGCAAATGAGTAAGAGGAACTGCATGTTTAGCCACAAGGGATTTGCAAAAAAAACAAACCCTTTGAGGATTTACAAGCTGATGTTTAGTTCTGGTTCTGTTTAAAAGAAGCAAACTGATCACTTTTAGTCTCTCACGTGTTGTTTATTAAATTTTATGCAAAGAACTCATGTGTTTTTGATTGTGAACCTCATTATTTTTTTCAGGCTCGACAGGATGCAGTTGTAGACATTTACGAGCGCCTGCCGGTGCCGTTTGGATTGGTGCGCTTTGGGGTTGCACCTGATCACCCTGAGGTTAAGGTCAGGATGTTGTGTGTTTATTTCGCATGGAACAAAATGCATTTACTTTAATAATGATTTCATTGTGATTATTAATAAATCAGGTTAAAGGTTGGCTGTAAAACTATACAAAGACACATGATTTTGTACTCTCTGCTTGGTCTGTGTCCGAGTCATACATGTACGGCTGAATGCTGATCCAAGCTTAGCTTCTCTCTGTCTGCCTGTCGGTCGCAAACACAGAGCGTGGGAGCTCTTGGCTCCGCCCCCTTGTTACGTTGGACGGGAAGCCGAAAGTAATTTTCATGTGAAGCAACACACCCCTAAAACAGCGAGCTGTGTACACGCCCCCTACATGACACTTTTAAACACATAATAAAAATATCTTAACTGTGTTGAACTGAACCTAAACTGGCACACCCAGAAGAGCCATAATATTAATATTAAATCATAAAAAAAGTGTAAACTAAGTGCCCTTTAAAACATGAACTTTTATTTTACTCCAGTATTTTAAGTAGAGTTTCTGCGCTCACCTGCTGCTCCTGAAGGCGCTAGCGCTACATAGTCTTTAATTTCTATTTATGCTTGAACATCTAAATGAATGCTTGAGTCTATTTAACTATTCGATGCTGAAAAAGCAGCCTTATGAATTTGAAAGTAGTTATATTACCCTTTAACCAGAAGTTTGACGTTGGCTGAAAACTCTAGCTGTGCATTGATGGAGAATGGAAATAAAAACACGCTGGGAGAAAGTCTGGGTTTGGCAATAGACAAAGTGCTAATTTATGGGCTTTAGCACAATGAGAATCTTTCTTGGTAGAGATTCAGGCTCCAGATGGTCCTGTGTGGGTTGTGCTAGAAGCAGACAGGATACATGAGCTTTTCATTCGGTCTCGCCGTTATTTCCAGCACAAGCATAGATGCCATTCTTCTTGCAGTGTTGTTTTTGGATAAGTGTTCCTGCTTGACCTTAACCAGTCCATGGATTTCAGCAAACTCTGCTTTCAAAAATCAAAGCAAAATCTTGCATTTTAATTTCAACTTGTTTTTGATTCAATTTCAGTTCATTGATGATTAAAGGTCCTGTGAAATTAAAATAAATTTAGTTTCTGTCTGTTAGTTTTAAGGATACCTATAAGCTTGTGTGCTCAATTCATTCATTCATTTTCATCCCCTTTTTCCGGGGCCGGGTCACGGGGGCAGCACTCTTAAGAGAGAACCCCAGACTTCTCTCTCCGCAGACACTTCCACCAGCTCCTCCGGGGGGGATCCCGAGGCGTTCCCAGGCCAGCTGAGAGACATACTGTAGTCCCTCCAGCGTGTCCCCGAGGCCTCCTCCCGCAGAAAATGCCTGAAACATCACCCTAGGTAGGCGTCTAGGAGGCATCTGAAACAAAAACCTGAGGCACCTCGGCTGACTTTTCTTAATGTGGAGGAGCAGCGACTCTACTACGAGCTCCTCCCGGGTGACAAAGCTCCTCACCCTGTCTATAAGTGTGCGCCCTGCCACCCTGTAAAGGAAACTAATTTCAACCGATTGTATCTGAGATCTTGTCCTCTCGGTCTTAACCCAAAACTTATGACTATAGGTGAGGGTAGGAACATAGATTGACCTTTGCCTTTGGCTCAGCTTCTTCTTTACCACAATGGACTGACATATCGACCGCATTACTGCTGCCGCTGCACCAATCTGCCTGTCAATGTCACGTTCCATCCTTCCCTCACTCATAAACAAAACCCCAAGATACTTAGGGTGCTTTCACACCTACACTTTTGTTTCGGAACGTATCTCGTTTGCCCAGTTAGCGCGGTTCGTTTGGCATATGTGAACAGGGCAATCGCGCTCTGTTCCGCGCCAAAGTAATCGCTCCGAGATCGCTTGAATGAGGTGGTCTCGGCTCGATTGAAACGAACCCTGGAGCGGTTCGATTGCAGTGAGAAAGCGATCCGATCCGAGCGCGGTTATATCACAGTGTTTTATGGATATGTAATAGGCATACGGCTATATGAAGAGAGAATTATGAGTAGGGCGGGAAGTTTCGCGAGTCTCCGGATGCCCGCAAACGAGTGATGATCTCCCGGTAATCTCGCGTCTCTCTCCCAGTCCTCAAATAGGCATCGTCGCGCACCCTTCTCACCCCTCCCCACCGTGTCTCTCCTCAGACACGTCACGCGCGCGCACCCTGTCAATCACCACCAAACCACCACCTCTCCTGACAGCTGAGTGGGACGCTGCAAAATAAACCCTGACACTCTGACCAATAAGAGGAGAGTTTACTCGCACGTGACTTGTTTTAGCTCTTTTAGTCCAATTAGAAACTTTGCCGTGTGAAAGCGAACCACTCCAAGAGCAAAGAGCAACAATGTAACAATTTTTTATCTCTGTTTCGGAACAACTGAATCGATTCACAGGTGTGAAAGCACCCTCAAACTCTTCTATGTGGGGTTAGAACTTTCCTTCCATCTTCCAACTGATCTGGTTGAACTGAACAGAAACCAGCAAATTAAAGTAAAATTAATTAAATAATCATAACCATTTTTATAATAATCACCAGTTATTTGCTCTTCTGCTTTTGTGTGGGCTTTCTTGGCCTTTGCTACACCGTGAGCACAGTAAGATGTGCAGAGTGCCTGAACTTGTTTTAAACATGAATATGTTCGGCACTTTTGTGATGCCCTCAGCTATTGGAGTCGTCTTTGAAAATAGTCCACAGGTTTGTCCTTACAACTGGGATGTTTGGTTTCTGAATGTCGTTTTAATTTAGAAGGTTTCATGCTCTCTTGTGAGAGTACCTCACTACATATGACACACTGAGGTTTTAAGTGTGGTTTATTCATAAACTAATTTCGAGAGGATCACGTGCTTATAATCAACACGGCTGGCTCCTTGTTAGCTCCGTAATCAGCACTATTAGATGATTACGGAAGCATTATTAATAACCTGAGTTTTTCACTCTAGTTATCTTCGTCTTGAAGCTTTCCCCCCTTTCCACCCCTACATCCTCCCACTTTTTCTGATCGGGCGACACGGTGGCCCAGTGGCTAGCACTGTTGCCTCACAGCAAGAACACTGCCGGTCCAACCCATCGGGCCGGTTGGTTTTTCTGTTTGGAGTTTACATGTTCTCCCCGTGTTCGCATGGGTTTTCCCCGGGTTCCCCGGTTTCCTCCCACCATCCAAAAACATAAACCATAGCCAATCGACTAAAACAAATTATCACCCAATACAACCTGAGTTTACACTTCTCACGGTGACAAGCAGGGGAGTTCTCGAGACCTACCTGACCTCGAATTCCCCTCTCGCCCTTCTAACGGAGGGAGCCCCGGGCTCGAGGATATTACGAGCTCAGGGCTCTCTCCCGGGACAGCACGCTAAATACGCTTTATTGATTATCAGCTAAGTGTGAACTCTTGAAGCCTTTTTTGTCATCAATATATATGTAAACCCACACTTATACAGGGTCGTACTTGCGTTAAAATTTCAGATGTTAAACGGTACGATTGTCGCACACGCATTTTAAAATTAAAGTCCGATATTAGCAAAATAAGTTAAAAACTAAACTTTTGTTGTTGTTTTTTTATCACACACTCCGCGACCCACTGAAAATGTTCCCGCGACCCACTTTTAGGTCGCGACCCAACAGTTAAGAAACACTGGTTTACAGTACAGGAGGTGGGAAAAAAAACAAACTGATTACGTTAAGATAGGCTTGATATTTGTCAACACTGCACAGATGTTGCTTTATAGTCTTATTTATCTTATGTTATGTTTATCTGTACATAAAAAAATGTAAATAATCTGCAATCTTGCATTTGTGTGTCCTTGATACGCATCTTAAGCATCGCAGACAACCTGAGATTTATATTTCCTAACCCAAACACACTTTTGCTTGGTTATATCATGTCATTTCATCACAATGTGCCCTGGTTAGCTCTAGACAGCACATACAGAAAGTAAATCAATGTTGCTGTACTTTCCTAATTACAAGTCATGTCTTTTCATGAGTCACTTTAATGATCACGCTACAGGTTCTTTAGTGCTATAACACCTCCTAAAGCTTGCACTGTCTGGGATTTAACAGTAAATCAGGTATAAATGACACTGTTAACACTGTTTCTTTTGTCCCACTGCTAATAGCCATATCTTACTTTTCATTTCCACATATGAGTTTGCAGTGTGTTTATTTAGATGTTTTATAAAATGAACGCATATTGTCAATAATATACATTCTAAAGGTTTCAATTCTGTATTGTTGGGTTACTTTTGAAACTGAAGTCATGAATCAAAATCATTTAATATTTTTTGCAGAGATTAAAAACAGAAATTATGTTTGCAGTTAACATTTTAACAAGGTCATAGTCAGGGACCGTTAAAGGTGTGGTTTGTAAGTTTGACACCCAGTGGTTAAGCTAGGTATTGCATTCATGGATCAAAACAAACGCAAGCGCATGTTGCCAGATTAAGGAGCAAGTCTGATGCTGTGTTCATACCAGACACGAAACGAGTGGATAAATCGCTCTGTTCGTGCGTAAATAGCACGAATAGATAGGCAGGGCTTCTGTCTGCCTGGTGACTCCAGCTTCGTTGCTAAATGGCTAACATGGATTTTATTAAGAAAATAACAGTGTTTATGTGCTTTATGAAGACTGAAAAACAGCGTCGAAACGTTTAGGGCCGTGTCTGAGTCCACTTCAAAGGTGCATCCAGCTCTGTGAGCTCATAAAGTCTTTCAGAAACTTAACCTGGATGATGGAGGCTTTCAGCGGTGCTTCTCGCTGAGCCGAGCCCAGTTTGATGAACTGTCGTCGTTGTCGGCTGGAGGATTGCCCCCGGGACACCAACAACAGGCGATACGTCACAATCACGCCCCCACAAGAGCAAACTCCTGATTGGTTAACACGCCGCAAATGTCCGCTTAAGTTCAGATTTTTGAACTCAAGCAATTCGCGCCAAACGCGTATTAAGCACGTCAAATGCGCATATTGCTCCATTCGCGCCGCTTCATTCACGCAATTTGCGTCATTCACGCGTATCACACCACAGGATGTCTATTTCAGCATTTGCATTGACTTAACATGTAAATCACTTTCGCTTGACGCTCCTCCCACATCTGGTTTGAAAACAGCGTAGCGATCGAGCCTAAAGGCTGATTTAAACCGTGTTTTATATAAAAGAAACTGCACGCCATAGAAGGAATATCCTCCATATAACCTAACCAACACCTCGAATTCATGTTTTAGAAACAGCCTTGTTTCCTCATGTGCTTTTTCCTAGTTAAGTGCTAATAATGTGTGTTTGGATGCCATTTTACATGACATTTTTTGCCAAACTACTGAAAGCAGTAGCAGATAGTTCACCTCAGATCTGGAAAATAAAATAAAGCATCTGAAATTTAACTTTTTTTTTTGAACTGTGACTCAAAATAAAACATATCAGTGATTCACCATGCGCTTTTAATAAAGTTAAAGAGGTTTAATAAGTATTAATTAGGTTGTAAACCCTATTATTTCATGTGAGTGCATATTCTGTGTTTCTGAATGGCTGTATTTGAATTTCTGTCATTTTTCATTTGGTGCAAGCCAAATTGCTTATCACTGCAAATGTCACGTAGCACATTGTTAGGACACAGGGTTACAATGTTTCCTTCTCACTTAATGTTTACATTTGTATTATTTATATTATTTGCTAATTAATAACCTCATGTGGAACTCTGAATCTGCGTCTCATTTCGGAGTCTGAAGGCAACCCAGAGTGCTGAAATATAATTAGCTAAACTGGCATTGGGCAGGTTAAAGAGACCAAACCAGAGACAGCCTTCTGTCACTTTTCAAAGCAGATTATCTGACTTCAACATTGTTTCTTACAGTTGAAAGCAGAAGTTTACATACACTGTATAAAAAGGCACATGACCATTTAAAAAAAGTCAGATGTTAATGTGACTAAACTTTTTCTCGTTTAGGTAAGTTAGGATTATCACATTTGTTTCTGTTCTGCTTAATAGCAGAATATTAAGAGAGAGATTTTTTTTGAGAATTTTTTAACTTTTCTTGAAAGTCAAGTTTACATACAATAAGATTATTCTGCCCCTGAAAAAGCTCAGATGATTTTGTGAAGTTTCTGATTGGCTAATTGACAACATTTGAGTAAATTGGACGCACAACTGTAGAACAGTATTTAAGGAAAATCTCAAACACACTGCTTCCTTGTGTGACAACATGGGAAAATCAACAAGCCAGAATCAACAAAAAAAGCCAGATTACAATTTGCTAAATGACACTGGGAAAAAGACTGATGTTTGGAGACATGTCCTGTGGTCTGATGGAACTAAGAAGCCAAGGAACACCATCCCAACTGTGAAGTATGGGGGCGGCAGCATCATGTTGTGGGGCTGTTTTGCTGCAGGAGGGACTGGTCCACTTCACAGCATAGATGAAATCATGAAGAAAGAACATTATGAAGAAATACTGAAGCAACATCTCAAGACATCAGCCAGGACATTAAAACTTGGCCACAAATGGGTCTTCCAAACAGACCATGACCCTCAGCATACTGCCAAATTAGTGAAAATGTGCTTTAAGGACAACAGAGTGAATGTTTTGGAGTGGCCATCACAAAGCCCTGATCTCAATCCTATAGAAAATTTGTGGGTTAAAAAAGTTTGTGAGCAAGACAGCCTACAAATCTGACTCAGTTACACCAATTTTGTCTGTGTGAATGGGCCAAACTACTGTGAGAAGCTTGTGGAAGGGTACCCAGAACATTTGCTCAAAGTTATACAGTTTAAAAGCAAAGCTAAAAACACCAAGGAAATGTGTGTAAACTTTTGACTGTCTAGAAATTAATTAAAAATTCTCTCATTATTCTGGCATTTAGCAAATGTAAATCATTTAGGTAATCCTAACGGACCTAAAATAGTAAACGTTTAGTATGTTTTACCATCAGACATTTAAAAAAAAAATGGCTTCGTGCCTTTTTTAGAGTGTATGTAAACTTCTGGTTTCAACTGTAGATAAACAAGAATATTCACTAAGCATATTTTAAAAAAATCTGCTAAACTATTATGTTATTTTTATACTTTAAAAGAGTCAAAAACTTTGAGACAAGCACCTTTAATACAAATAGAATTAAGTATAAGTTAGAATAAGTTAGAATAAGTCGGCCCTCCAGGAATTGGATTTGACACCTGTGTACATAAAACATGTATGCGCAAATTAATTCTATTTCTCATTTTAATTTTACAGAATGTCATTAACACTTTCACCCAGACGGCCCAGCATGAAAGATGCAGCTTTCATGGTAACGTGAATGTGGGGAAAGATGTGACCATTGAGGAGTTAAGACAAGCGTATCATGCTGTAGTACTGGTGAGGATGCATGATTCATTCATCATTTTTTTTTCAGCATAGTCCCTTTATTAATCAGGGGTCACCACAACGGAATGAACTGCCAACTTATCCAGGACATGTTTTACTAAGCGGATGTCCTTCCAGCTGCAACCCATCACTGGGAAACACCCATCCACACATACACTATGGACAATTTAGCTTACCCAATTACCACATGTTTTTGGACGTGTGGGTCAAACCAGAGCATCCGAAGGAAACACAGGGAGAACATGCAAACTCCACACAGAAATGCCAACTGACCCAGCCAAGGCTCGAACCAGTGACCTTCTTGCTGTGAGACGATTGTGTTACCCCGCTGCGCCACCGTGCTGCACTTATAATAAATTACTATAGTATTTTTTTTTCATTAGGGCAAATGTGACTGATGCAACTTTATCCACCTATGCAAATTAACTGATCATAAGTCGATGATTTGTATAAAGTAGTACATCACATTTAAAACTTTATATGTGTAATAATTTACAAAAGAACAATAATCAAACTTTGTATCTGCATTGCTTTGAATTGTGGATGTATTGTGTTAAAACTATTGCGTGCATTAAAACAATCCATCTGTTCAAAATCATTTAATAGCACTGCATTAAATAATTACAACTCATTACTCCTCACACTTTTATTCACTCAGAGTTACGGAGCTGAGGGAAACCGGTCTATGGGAATTCCAGGAGAAGATCTTTGCAATGTGTTTTCAGCTAAAGACTTTGTTGGATGGTACAACGGGGTTCCCAGCAATACGGAGGTTCTGGTTGTTTTAAATCACACCACATGCTTTTGTGTTTAAAGTTTAAAACCCCCAAATAACTGATTTCTGATTATCTGCAGCTGTGTCCTGATCTCAGCTGTGAGACGGCTGTGGTTCTCGGACAGGGAAATGTGGCTCTGGATGTGGCCCGAATACTCCTCTCGCCTGTGGACATGCTGAAGGTCTGTGTTTACTTTTCAGGTCGTTCACCTCTTTTTTTTTTACAATTTCAAATGTGGTATGTAACTTTAAATGTGTTAGATGTAAACACAGCCAAATTGTAGCTCTGACCGAGACATGATGGTTTTAATTGATGGAAATCAGTCCCTCCAGGATTTTGCAATTGCTGAATTTATCGCAAAATCAAGCAACCTCGGTTAAAAATTTTTGGATCTCGCATTTTTTGATTGGAATGTCACAGATTTTCTGTAAATGCAGGGTCTAGATCAGGGGTCACCAATCTCGATCCCGAGAGGGCCGGTGTCCCTGCAGGTTTTAGCTCCAACTTGCCTCAACACACCTGCCTGAATGTTTCAAGTATACCTAGTAAGACCTTGATTAGCTTGTTCAGGTGGGTTTGATTAGGGTTGGAGCTAAAATCTGCGGGACAGCGGCCCTACAAGAACAAGTTTGGTGACCTTTGGTCTAGATGCTTTCTATGACCCAAAGAAAAAGCCACATGGAAGCAAACAACTTTCACTAAGCCATGATTTTACACACATCAATATAGTTAGTGGTAGTAGCTATATGCCTTTAAGCTGGTCTGGAACTCGTCAATTAACTAGAAGAAGAAGACATTGCAAGTTAAAATGATTTAAATTATAAATTATAATGATAAATTATAAATTTACAAAGTTGCATTTACCTACAAATGTTACTCCAAAGATTGTGAAAAACTTGATGCGTTTTTGAGGCATCCTCTAAAGTTTTCTATGCAAAAGAAAGATTCTTGTAAAAGAAATGTTTGGGCACTTTAACTTTATTTATTTATTCATTTATTTTTATTATTAATATGTGAATGAGTTTAATAGTTTTTTTGGTTGCATTTGAAATATTAAAATTGAGTGTTATTTTATAAGTTACAAAACCCAATGTCTGGATCTGAGAGTAATAAGAAAATGTGTAATAAAGACTTTATGTGGTATACAGTTGAAACCAGAAGTTTACAATAAAGGAACAACCATTTTTTTTAAATGTCTGATGGTAAATCATACTAAACGTTTACTATTTTAGGTCTGTTAGGATTACCTAAATGATTTACATTTGCTAAAAGCCAGAGTAATGAGAGAAAATTTTTTTTATATTTTTTAGCTTTGCTTTTAAACTGTATAACCTTGGTCAAATGCTTTAAGTATCCTTCCACAAGCTTCTTACACTCGTTTAAAGGAATTTTGGCCCATTCCTCCTGACAGAATTGGTGTAACTGAGTCAGATTTGTAGGCTGTCTTGCTCACACAAGCTTTTTCAACTCTGCCCACAAATTTTCTATGGGATTGAGATCAGGGCTTTGTGATGGCCACTCCAAAACATTTACTCTGTTGTCCTTAAAGCACATTTTCACTAATTTGGCAGTATGCTTAGGGTCATGGTCTGTTTGGAAGACCCATTTGTGGTCAAGTTTTAATTTCCTGGTTGATGTCTTGAGATGTTGCTTCAGTATTTCTTCATAATGTTCTTTCTTCATGATGCCATCTATGCCGTGAAGTGGACCAGTCCCTCTTGCAGCAAAACAGGCCCGCATCATGATGCTGCCGCCCCCATACTTCACAGTTGGGATGGTCTTTGTAGGCTTGTAAGCTTTCCCCTTTGTCCTCCAAATGTAACACTGCTCATTATGGCCAAACAGTTCAATCTTGGTTCCATCAGACCACAGGACATGTCTCCAACACTGTTTCTTTTCCCAGTGTCATTTAGCGAATTGTAATCTGGCCTTTTTTTGTTGATTCTGGCTTGTTGATTTTCCCATGTTGTCACACAAGGAAGCAGTGTGTTTGAGGTTTTCATTAAATACTGTTCTACAGTTGTGCCTCCAATTAACTCAAATGTTGTCAATTAGCCAATCAGAAACTTCCAAAACCTTCCAAAACACCATCATCTGAGCTTTGTAAGAGGCATAATAATCTTATTGTATGTAAACTTGACTATTAAGAAAAGTTTTAACAATTTCTCAAAACATATCTCATTATTCTGCTATTAAGCAGAACAAAAACAAATGTGATCATCCTAACTTGCCTAAAAGAGAAAAAGTTTAGTCACATAAACATCTTTTTTGTTTAATAGTTATGTGTATGTAAACTTCTGGTATCAACTGTATTTCTTTACAGCAAATCAACACAAAATAATGCTGCACATGTTTCTGTCAAGTTTAAGAAAAGCTGCAGCAAGTAATTTCAGGCCACAACAGTTAGAGAAAAAGTCATGCAAAATTCTGCAGGGACTGCAATATGAATTGCAAGTGGCCACAATTTACAGTTTGTGATCCTATTTCTGTTTTGTTCTGTTGATATGTGATCCATTTTTTGTAGCTTGAAACAGAAGGAAATAGGACTCGATTGTGCTGCATTTCTATAGAGATCCTAGTGTTGCTGCAATTACGGCTCATTGTTTTTTTTTGCAAGCCAGGTTTATTCACAGGTCACCAGACTGAAAACTATTAATTATGTTCCCTCAGCTACAATTTTTGTAGCTTGAAACAGAAGGAAATAGGACTCGATTGTGCTGCATTTCTACAGAGATCTTAGTGTTGCTGCCATTACGCCTCATTGGTTTTTTTTGCAAGCCAGGTTTATTCACAGGTCACCAGACTGAAAACTATTAATTATGTTCCCTCAGCTCAGCGGGAATCTTTTATGTCCACTGAGATTGTAAAAGTGTCACACCAATCATAAAAGTGTAAAATACACAACCTATCACTATGTTAATGGTAAAACAACTGTTTAGAAAATTGACATGCAGTGTTTGAACTAGGTATTGCAATCTGAAATGTAATGCTGAATTATAAATATATTGCTGAAACATTATTGGTTAAACTGGCAGTGGGCTGGTTATAGAGACGAAAGGAGAATAGACATTCAGGCGCACAATGCACATTTTCAAAGCAGAATGACTGAATTAGCATCGCTGCAAGGCTTTTAACCAGCACCAGAACATTTGACCACATCACACCAGTACTGCGCTCTCTGCACTGGTTGCCCGTGCACTATCGTGTCACTTTTAAAATTCTTCTCCTGGTTTTTAAATCTCTAAATCTCTACCTGTCAGACCTGCTGACTGAACATCAGCCTGGTCGGTCTCTTCGGTCATCAAACCAGAGACTTTTATACATTCCAAAGTCGAGGCTGAAATGCAGGGGTGACCGGGCTTTCACAGTAGCTGGTCCTACTTTGTGGAATGCTCTGCCCCTCCCTCTGTATTAGGTCTATATCATCGCTGTCTGTTTTTAAATCTAGCTTGAAAACTTACCTATTTGATTTGGCATTTTATTAGTGAGAATTGTTTGTTTTTAGCTATAATAACTATTAGTGAGATTTGGTTGTTTTCACCTAAATTAACTATTTGTGAGAATTGTTTGTTTTAGCTATATTTTTATACCTGTTCTTTTTGATTTATTGTTCAGCACATTGATCAACCTTTGATTGTGTTTAATAGTGCTATATAAATAAAATTGACATTGTTTTTTAGATAAAAAAAATATATTTTAGCATGTTTCTTAAATTTCTACAAATATATTACAGTATGTTTATGCTTTAGAAGAGTCAAAAACTCACAAACAGCACCTTTATCTCTAAGCGGAGTTGTAAAATGAGCCTATTTCAAATAAATGAATAAATTCAGTCACCTACACTTTCCTGCTGATTCCCATCAAATGTGTGTCATTGTGTCAACAGATAGTACCCAGGATGCTCTGGAAGTATAGACAGGGAGTAGTTATGGGACTTTCGTCATTTGAGTATACAATCTAACACTATGTAAAGGGTATTAATGGCAGAACTGAAATGTTTAAAGGTGCACTATGTAAATTGAGGCACATTGGTTGAGCTAGGTATTGCAGTCTGAAATATATCGCTAAATAAAAAAAAAATATTGCTGAAGTATAATTGGGTAAACTGGCAGTGGGCTGGTTATAGAGACAAAAACAAGGCAGACATTTTAGCAGGGAACAGACATTTTTAAAGCAGAGTATCTAACTTTAGCATTGTTTTTCAGATGAAAAAAATAAGTTCACTTAGCATGTTTCATAAATAACTGCATAAACTAATATGTAATTATGTGTATGCTTTAGAAGAGACAAAAACTCACAATCAGCTCCTTTATCTCTAAGTGGAGTTGTAAAATGAGCCTATTTAAAATAAATAAATTCAGTCATCTACGCTTTCCTTGCTAATCTGCTGCAGTCTGATTTCCATCAAATGTGTTAATTGTTTATTTTGTTATACTTTCAGGAAACGGATATTACCCAGAATGCTCTGGAAGCATTGACGGGCAGTAATGTGCGCAGGGTTTTGATCGTAGGTCGCCGAGGTCCTCTTCAGATTGCGTGCACTATCAAGGTAAGAATCTACCTGACAGACAGGTGTAAATCTGTAAGATCAAGCAGAGGAACCAGTTCTTCTTCAAAGTGCAGAGAATAGAAAACACATTAAGTCTAACAATTGCAATGTTTATTAAAACAAACTTTTTTCAACCTCTTACGCTGTCATTTCAATCCCCTTTCAAGTTTGTTTATGTTCTTAATCTCATCAGGAACTCAGAGAGATGGTGAATCTGCCAAACACAAGAGCCGACATGCTGCCCGCAGACTTTGAGGGCATCGCAGAAGCTTTGAAAGGTAACATAACAATATTGACCTTAATCTGCGATGCGGATGTTTGATTGTTTTTGCGATTGTTTTAGAACTTCTGATTAAGTTTCCTACTGGAGAAATGACTAGAAATAATAAACAGCAGAAAACAGTCCAACTTACTTGCTCTACAAACAACTGTGTTTTTTTGCTCAATTTTTTTCTTATGTTAAAGCTCTCCAGCTGGATCTAGACCAGGGGTGCCCTAACTTTTTCCTTATGAAGGGCCAAAAATCTTGATTGAGGGTGAAATATACCAAACTTTATTCCATTAAAGTTGCAATAGGTGATATGCTAATTTATTTAATGTTTAAAAATAATGTTAAAACATTGCATTAACTAGTCCAGTATACATATTTAGATTTTATAATGATCTTACTACAATTAAAAGAAAAATTACAACAGAAGCTAGTCAAGCTGCACCTGCCTTTGCCTTGATTTGCTTGTCAATAGCCACATTTCCACTGTTGGGCCAGTGTGAGTCAGGGCTTTTATCGGGCCGGGCCAATCCCCCGGGAGGTTGAGCAGCGAGGCCAAAATCCAACAAGACTCTACAACATAACTTTTCTATCCAGATGGATAGGGCAACCATTACTGCATCCAAAACGGTGAAAAGCCTTGAAGTAACAATTGATGACCAACTAAACTTTTCTGACCACCTCTCTAGATCTGCTCGATCGTGCAGATTCGAACTCTTTAACATCAGAAAGTTCTGACCCTTCCTATGTGAACATGCAGCTCAACTCCTTGTTCAAGCTCTTGTTCTCTCCAGACTTGACTATTGCAACTCTCTACTAGCCGGGCTTTCAGCTAACTCTATCAAACCTCTTCAGCTGCTTCAGAACGCAGCAGGACGAATTGTCTTTAATGAACCTAAAAGAGCACATGTCACTCTGCTGCTCATCCGTTTGCACTGGCTGCCAGTTGCTGCTCGCATCAATTTCAAAGCTCTGCTTACAAAGCGACTTCTGGCTTTGCTCCTTCTTATCTGCTCTCAGTTCTGCAGATGTATGTGCCCTCCAGAAACTTGCGTTCTGTGAATGAACGTCGCCTTGTGGTTCCATCCCAAAGAGGGAAGAAATCTCGAACTCTCGCGCTCAATCTGCCCAGTTGGTGGAATGAACTCCCTAACTGCATCAGAACGGCAAAGTCACTCGCTGTATTCAAGAAAGGACTAAAAACTCAACTATTTAGTCTCAAGTTCACATACCTGAAACTTGCCTACAGCACTTATTCATTGTTGCTCTTATAGTTGTGTAAATTGCTTCCTTGTCCTCATTTGTAAGTCGCTTTGGATGAAAGCATCTGCTAAATGACTAAATGTAAATGTAATGTCGCGTTTCCACTCTAGTTGCTCGCAGCGTGTCATGCAAACCCCTCCCCCAGAACGTCTCAGAATAAAACCTCACACAACCCGCCCAGTTCAGCGCAGATAAAGCACACCATCGCATCATCAAGAAACTATTAAAATGAAGACAACCAAAACAAACAAAGGACATGTTACTGTACAGCAGTACATTAAATGTCGATACGCACAGGCCTATGTATTTTCATTCATTATATTAGTTTACTTACCGACCGACTGTTGTCATCGTGCATCGAGTGGTCTCACCACTAACAGAGGTACCCAGCGCACGATCCATAATATAAAACCACAGAAATTCTCCAGTAATATTCATTCATCATTTTCTTTTTGGCTTAATCCCTTCATTAATCTGGGGTCGCCACAGTGGAATGAACCATCAACTTATCCAGCATATGTTTTTACGCAGCGGATGTCCTTCCAGCTGCAACCCATCGTTGGGGAAATAATATAATATATTAAACATTTATCAATAAGTATATTTTAAATAAAATAACACTTGAATCTTTTTTTCTATCTTTTAGAGCAGTGGTTCCCAACCTGGGGCCAGTTCACAAGGGGGGCGCGGGAGAGGATAAGTATTGAGGTAGAAAAAGGCATAAAAATGCTCCACTATTATAAAGGGCTTTGCAATTAATCGAAAATCCGATTTCGGTTTCAAACGATTATAAAAAACCATTAATCGAGATAAATGATTATTGCATCATATTTTGCCACGTTCCAGTTGTACACGTGTTGCTCTTAAAAGCGCGAAAGAGCTTATGTGTGTGTGTGCAGTCAGAAGCATACGGCCGGCCAGCATTCACTCTCATTCACACACTGAGACGAGCAGAGGAGCGCAGACATCTGAAGTCATCTTAACGTGAGCGCTTTAATGGTCAAATAGGTGTCAAAACGCGGTGTTTATTGATTATTTACATTAACCCTCATTTGTGTAATAAACAAACGAGTTGAGGATCAAAAGACGTGAAAGAGAAACCATTAAAGAGACAGCGCGCTATAATCCTTCTGCCGCCTGTTTTTATCATTATTAAACAAACATAACGAGAAAACCCTCGCTGCTCTTGACTGAAGGATTTTTGTAGCTAAAGTGTTTTTCTTACAGTGAAGATGCTTAAAACACAGTTTGTTTCATATTTTTATTCTATTGTATTTATTTCTCTTTCCTTTGCAGGGTGGAAAATAACTGTATGTATACACTTGAAGTCAGAATTATTAGCCCTCTTGAATATTAGCAAACCTTTTCCTGCCCAATTTCTGTTTCATGGAAATATTTTTTTTACTTATTTCTGAACATAATAGTTTTGATATCTCATTTCTAATTACTGATTTCTTTTTGTCTTTGCTATAATGACAGCACATAATATTTTACTAGATATTTTTCAAAATACAAGCATTCATATTAAAGTGCAATTCAAAGGCTTAATTAGGGTAATCAGGCAAGGCATTGTATAACAGTAGTTTCTTCTGCAGACAATCAAAAATATATATTGCTTAAGGGGGCTAATAATATTGACCTTAAATTGGTTTCAAAATATTTAAACCTGTCTTTATTCTAGCTAAAATAAAACAAATAGAAGAAAAAATATTATAGGAAATACTGTTAAAATTCCTTCGTCTTAAACATAATTTGGAAATATTTATAAAAAAAAAAAATTCTCAGGAGCGCTAATAATTTTGACTTTAACTGGCAATCGTTTAGAATAATCGTGATTACAATTATGACCAAAATAATCGTGATTATGATTTTTCCCAAAATCGAGCAGCCCTATTATTATATATGTATTTTTAAACACATGATTAAAATTCCAACATAACAGTGAAAATAATTAAAATAAATAACTTTAAATAATTATTTAAATTTTGCTCACTCGCGCAATGTGCTTGACAACGTGTCGTAAAGGCAAAATCAAAACAAAAATGGCAGACAAACGTAAATGCAGTGATTCTTCAGAGGCGAAGAAAAAGATTAGACAGTATGACAAAGCCTACCTAAATTTTGGTTTTATTGAAGGCCAAGACAAGTTAAAACTGATTAATTCATATTTTCTATACATATTACTATATATTAATATTACACAAACACACACACACACACACACACATATATATATATATACACACAGTACATATGTGTGTGTGTGCGTGTGTATTTATATGGTGGGGGGGCTCCAATGTTTGTATATGTTCATGGGGGGGGCTCCAAAGAAAAAGGTTGGGAACCACTGTTTTAGAGGATTTAACGTTAAATAGCTTTTCATTCTGATGTGGCAGTGAATCCATAATGTTTTTTTAGGCCTTTTCATCGTCCCAACTGGTCTGCTTTATTGTTTTGTTCTTTACTCTGTCATTAACTTTTCCTTTTCAGGCCCACGCTTGACAAACCCACATCTAGACATAGAATAAATGTGATATTTATAAGCAGGAACCAGTCCTGTCCTGATGGACCTACTGGAAACATTTGTTTCTCTTTTTTTGGCAGCGCTCCGAAACCACTAGTGGAAGTGTAGGAAGAGCAGTTTGTAAAGAATTTTGAGAACAAAAACTGTGTTTTTTTTTTCAGATGTGGTTTTGTGTATTTGTTTTAATGATTTACATGAAATGTTGCCCTGATGAAATAAATGCTTTATGGAGTACAACTTCATAAAGGCAAAAGAAAAGTTTCTAAAACTTTAATTAGAAGTTAATTAGAAGAATTAAATCTCATTCAGTCATTCATTTTCTTTTCGGCTTAGTCCCTATATTAATCTTGGGTTGCAACAGCGGAATAAACCACCATCTTATCTAGCATATGTTTAATGCAGCGGATGTCCTTCCAGCTGTAACCAATGACTGGAAAACACCCAGATACATTCATTCACACTCATACACTACGGAAAATTGAGCTTACTCAATTCACACATGTTTTGGACTTGTGGGGAAAACCGGAGCACCCGAAGAAAACCCACACAAACACAGGGAGAACATGCAAACTCCACACAGCAATGCAAACTGAGGCTCGAACCAGCGATCTTCTTGCTGTGAGGCAATTGTGCTACCCAATGCACCACCATGATGCCTAAATTAAATCTACTTAGCCTTATTGCCTAATGGCTTCAGCCTCATTGACACCGCCATGATGGACAGTGGGCAGATTTGGCCTGGATACCAGGGTTAAACCCCTACTCTTTTTGAAGGACATCCTAGGATTTTTAACGACCACAGAGAGTCGGGACCTCTGTTTAACATCTCATCCGAAAGATGTCGCTCACTGAGCAGTATAGAGTCCTCATCACTATACTGGGGCATTAGGACCCAATCAGAGCGCAGGTTGGGCGCCCCCTGCTGGCCTCACTAACACCACTTCCAGCAGCAACCTAGCTTTCCCATGTGGTCTCCCATCCAGGTACTGACCCGGCGCAGCCCTGCTTAGCTTCAGTGAGCGACCATGTGAGAGTTGCAGAGTATAGAGAATACAAACCTAACAGGTCACTCAGATCATTAAGATCAAGTAAATCAGTGAAAGCGGGGTGAATCGGCCTTCAGCTTTTAACCGTGGCCCTCGCTGCTGGAATTCTAGAAATGATCAGATGTGCTCCAACATTAGGCACGTTCAAATCAAGACTTAGAACCCATCTGTTTAGCTGTGCCTTTACTGAATGAGATTGTGCTACGTCCCACAGATTGCGCTATTTTGTCTTTTCTTTTTCATTCTTTTATAATAATAATACATTTTATTTAAAGGCGCCTTTCTAGCAACTCAAGGACACCGTGCAATCAACAAGGCAATAAAACAACTAGAGAAATAATAAAATATACACAACAATAGTGCAGATAAAATTAAGTATTAAAAGCCATCTTAAATAAGTGGGTTTTGAGTCTTGATTTTGAACAGTGTGAGGGAGTCAATGTTTCTGATGGCAGGTGGTAATGAGTTCCAAAGCCGCAGAGCAGAGTGGCTAAATGCAGTGTCCTGTAGCATTTCATTTGTGGCAAACTATTTCAATACTGTACATATACAGAGTCCATAATAATAGATGGCAATTAAAGTGCCATAGAGCAGTTAGGGGAAGATGATGAGTAAGGAGTCCTCAGGCCATGCATGATGATGATGATGGTCATTCAGACAGCTGTGATGAGGAAGATTATCAAGAAAAAAGCTTAGTCCAGACAAGTAGATGAGGTCCCAACAATACAAACACAGGACACAGTCGGAAAGCATTCGGTATGAGTCTTCAGCAGATGCAATGAACTCAACAAATGTACCATGATATTGTATGTTTCTTCATCTGTATTCTTTCCTTTTTGCATTGTCGCTTTCTGACTGTGTTCTGTGTTTGTGTTGTTGGGACCTTTACTTCTGTGCTTGTCGAGACTAAACTTTCTTCTTGATATTCTTCCTCATCACTGCTGTCTGAATGACCATCATCATGCATGGCCATGCATCCTCATCTTCCCCTTCCCCTCCCAACTTCTCTCTGTCACTTTAATTGCCATAGACTATTATGCTGATGACATTTTCAAGACACTTTAATTTTTCTATCATCTTCCTCTATTCTTTTAAAATCTAAAAAATACACATAAATTGATAAATATAGTTTATCGATTATAAATTATTGTAAAAATACCCACAATGTATTTTAAAATGGTATTTTAGTCACTATTTATATTAATTTAATAATCCAAAAACAGTGTTTTTGCATTGTAGTAGGCATTATGTTGATTACATTACAAAAATGTGACACCGTTGTTCGGAAATAAAGCTCCTTTTATACCTGTTGTATCAAATTTGATACATGATTTTCAACTAAAATCAACTTGAAATTCGCAAGTAGTTTTTAGCCAAAGAGTGTCGAGCTCTTCCACAGCCTGCAGTGTCATGAAAATCCACAAGGGGGAGAATACAAGTATCACATCATATACAACAGGTTTTTAAACAAAGAATTGATCACGTTGAGGTTATATAGGTCTTAGAAACTCGTGTATCAAATATGATGAAAAGGAAAAAAAAAAGGTGCTTAGGTGAGGTTCGAACACGGATCGACGGCGCTGAAATGCAACACGCTGACCGCTGGACTACAATGGGGCTGTTATGCTTGTCAGGCCGGAACGATACTTAATCCTCATCATCACCCTGCAGGCTACATTTTGCTCATGGGGCTGAGAGACAATAAATAAGAAGAGCGGAGCTGCGGCAAAATAATGAATAAAAAGAGTGAGGCTATCGTCAAATAAATAAATAAATAAATGAAAAACAGTGCGACTGCGACTGCTGCTTTCTCCGTTCGCCATGCTGGAGAGGAACAGTCTGTGCAAATGGAACGCAGAGTTGGTGTCATTAGCCCTTTTCACACATACATACAGGTCTGTATGTGTGAACAGGTCCTTTTTGAAAATACCGGTAAATTTGTTCTGGCTATTTTCCGGAAAGAGAAGTTGTAACATTACCAGCAGTTTGCCGGAATGCTGCGCTGTGTGAATGCAGAAGGAAGATTGCCGTAATAAGCGCGTGCACGTCTAGAACGTGCTGACGTGAGACGTCTGCTTTAGCCAATCACAACAGTCAGACGCATTTACGTCCGCGCGGTTTATGAGAATAAAAGCCTTTGAATATTTTTCCAGACACATTTAGCTGCTGAAGTTAGTCAGATCACGTTTATATGTTCTTCTTAATGCCAACTGTGTAAATAATCATCGATGAGATGCTTATGATAAGCCGTTGTTTGTTTACCTTCAAGCTTTGCGTGTGCCTGTGAAACAGACTGTGAGCGCCTGCACACGCACATATTATGAACATCTCGACATGCGAAAGTGATCCAGCGAAAGTTGTTCACAATATTGATCATCCACAGAGTTTGTAATTTAGTCAAATGTTTACAAATACAAGCGCAGCCGTTTAAAGCTCATTTGTGGTGAATGATGTCAGAATTTACCGGTATTTTGGAATGGATGTGTGAATGCTCTTTTCCGGAAAATTTCCGTAACGTCCTCGCCTGTGTGAACAGAGCTTTTTAGAAAATACCGGTAAAGTCGTTCCGGAAATTTTCCGGATATTTACCGGTATCACTGTGTGAAAGGGGCTATTGACTACAGCTCTCATCTGATTGGCTGAAAGGTACGAGTTGCCCTGCTTCTGGCAGGACAGTCTTAAAAATACACACGCACGTATCCAGGGGGAGTCGTACGTGAAAGAGGATTTGCACATTCTCATTCAGGATGAACTCGCAAGTTTTAAACATTCAAAACTTTTTGTACACTCTTATACATTTGCAAATGTTGTTTTGCATTTGTGAAACGTATTTTATGAAAATGTATTTTTATTTTGTGCACGCGAAATTGTTTTGTGAATATAAATAAATATTTTACGCACATGAATTTGGCTACGCATGTGTACATCGTGTCTCTTGCGTGAATTACTTTTGAGACTTTTCTGACTCCATACTCACATCCTTATAAATCCTTGAAAAGATGAATTTCTCCTCTGGGCCACTCTGCGGCTGTCTGTTGGCCTCATAAATCTACTTTTGAACCGTGTGATTACATTCCATGTTAAATGTAGCATGTAAACCAGCTTGGACATCTTAAATGGGGCCTATTATGCTTCTTTTTACAAGATGTAAAAAGTCTCTGATGTCCCTGGAGTGTGTATCTGAAAAAACCACATAAATAATGTTTTATAACTCTTTGAAACTGACCCTTTTAGGCTTTAAATAAAGTTATGCCATTTTGGTGACTGTCGCTTTAAATTTAAATGAGATTGTGCTCTTTTCAGAATAGGGTGGAGCTACAAATGCCTGTGTGTCAGCATAGTAGCAAATTCAAAAACAAGACTAACATCCTATGCAAATGAGGGAGAGATGATCACTAGTGGGCGGGGCTTTCCCCATCTCTTATGACATACAAAGGGAGAATGTCAATCAAAAGTGTTTCTGCAGACTGTTTTAATCAAGTCTGATAATGGAAAATACAATTAATACTTTTTTATTATTAAATGCTGGTTATATTCACACACAGCTGACACACAACTGTGTTTAAACCTCTTATAAAAGTGACTTTTGCATAATAGATCCTCTTGAAAGTGCTTCTGTATGTGTGTTTATTAGAGCTCCCGAGACCTAGAAAGAGACTGACGGATTTAATGATGAAGGCCGTGAAGGAGGGAGGAGATGAAAAACTTGAGAAGTCCTGGGGTTTTCGCTTCTTTCGCAGTCCTGTGGAGGTTCTCGCAGGGGTTGATGGGAAAAAAGCTGCAGGAGTCCGACTAGCCCTTAATAAACTGGAGGTAAACATGCATGACATTTAAAGGGATAGTTCACCCAAAACTGATAATTCTGTCATTATTTACTCACTTGTTTTAAAGCTTTATGAGTTTCTGTCTTTTGTTAAAGACAAAAGAAGATATTGTGAAGAATGCTGGAGTCTGTAACCATTGACTTCCATTTGTGTTTGTTTTGAATCAATGGTTACAGGTTTTAAACTTCAAATTTTTTCATTTTTGTTCAATAGACAAAAGAAACTAAATATTCTG